ACACCACACTATACACTACACTACACACTATACACTACATTATACACTACACTATACACCACACTATACACTACACTACACTATACACCACACTATACACTACAGCCGTAACACACCACACTAAGCCATGTCACACCACTTTCGTTACAAACACCGCCTATCACCATTAACCCTTTTTTCACTGATGAAGGTGGTCTTCTGTTTAGGAAGGAAACCTCTTCCCCAGAATGAGCCCGACTTAGTCGCACTCCATAGACTTCATTGAAGGACTAATTGAAAACAAATTACAGGAATTTCGGAGTTTTTTGCTTGTAGATGAAAGCCACGAGTACATTTTCCGCCTGTCATGTCGGAGAYGCAAAGATCCGGTAGACAGTCCTTCCTACCTCGCTTCTGTATAGGATAAACAGAAATCTTTCTTTATTCTTTTGAGTCGCACAGGCGAATCACRAGTTATTAAAGACTAGTAAGTCAATACATGATAATTAAATTTACATTGAAGGTAAACTGTATTAAATTAGTTGTATTCATCAACCATATGGCGAAATGTGCGGTATTAGACAGAACTATAGTTTAGTTATATATGCATGCAAACCCTTCAAATAAGCTAATAGAACAAACTTTAACCTCCATTTTGAATGACTAAAGGAAACAGATCACCTTTCAACAAAGCACAGGTCCAAGAAAACCTCGTTGAATACTAGAGTCTTTTTTATACTATGAATGAAGAAACCTCGGATGGCAATCGCTACAATTTTTCGTGTATTATTGCGTCAAAAGAGYTAATGGTCGATGTCAACTTGTGGCTTGTTTTCAGTTTGAAATTTCYAAAGGCTAGCTGAKGATTATTAAATCAATAAAAAGTTTAGAGATGGCATTTTGATGGACTTACGTACAAAGCAAATAGTCACTTTAAATTGTACTTGTAGTCCTTCAGAAAACACATCATTTTAATGAGATTTTATTAATAAATAAATACGAAGTTTACTTTAACGTTAGTTTTATTTTTGAATCAGGTAAACAAAGAGGGTATTTCATCTAATCCGGCGGACATGACGAATATTGACATATCCATATATTTCTTGTGGTCATCCCTCCGATTGTAATTTCATCAACAGCTGGGAGGCTACAACACGTGGGTCGTACAAATATATATTGTGCCATAGGAAAAACTCAATATCATCATGAAAGGTGTTCCATCTAATATAAAGCGTATCGCATGGTAAATTACAGAGRCAATACCAAATTATTTTATGAAAACGCTTATTGGAATGATCCTCATAACAGTGTCATAATAAATTGACCAGTGACTATAAATTATTTCTGAGGAAAAACTTCCAAGAATAATTCATGATCATGATTAAAAGTACATCACCAATYAAAGGGATAATAATCAATAGTGGGTCAGCGACCGCTTGAACTAGATGATTTAAAATAGAAGATAGAAGGGAAAACATGATAGTATCTGATGCTAAACCTCCCTTCATTGTAGATAGTTAGTCGGCTAAAGCAGTGTTGGGAGCAAGCAATTTAGAGGAAACCCAATTCAGTTATCTAACAGAAGGAAGTTGGTCATAATGGAAAGTATTACTTACTTAAATAAAATATTTTCATTCATCAAAGAAAGATGACGTTTCCATGACGTGGTGGTAAGAATAAAAACCATTTCAATTAGAGTGTAATCACACTACAACATGAGCTGTTTAGTGGTACGAATCAAGTACCTACTCCTTGCGGTCTTTATCGTCATAGGTAAGTCATCTACACTGCAATCTTCTTTTCACATTAGATAAAAGCTACACCTTAACAATAGAACCACGAATAACGTTATCACTAAGTACTAAACTACTTTGTTCACTAATCTTTGGTCTGATCGTCCCGATGTTCGGGGAGTTAGACTTGTTTTGCCGACCGCACAAAAATGATTTTTATGGGGGTGAGCAATCTAGAGAAGTCGGTTTAGAAGAACTTCATGCATGCGATCAGCATTGCTACTGGTACGAAGCTAAACAAGAAGACTACGGCTTAATTTCTGTTATCGTCGTCTATATAAATATCATTCCGCGCGGTCATCATATTTGCTTTTTCAGTTACAACTAACGCGTATATATATATCCCAAGGCCTATTATTGAAAGAGTCTTGTATTGTCTAACAATAGGAATATGACTGATTGGTACTCTATGACCACCAAAAATCATAACTCGAGGTTGGAATGTCCGAGGGATTATTTTGTTGATTCAAAGTATTACAAACAGATTAGAATATGTTGAATACCATGGTTAATAGCAATTGCGTTTACAACGTCATGATGTGATTGCGAGTTACAGTCACTATTCCAGTTATATCTACTAGGCAGATCACTAATAATTCAAAGTATTTTTTCCAGCATCCTCCAACGCAGCCCGTGAAAGAGATGATTACAGAATCTTCAACCGAAACACTAAGATCACTTCCKTCCAAATCAAGGTTATGCTGGCAAAGGCGAAATTAGAAAATCATGGTTTTAGTAAAGAAGTAACAACTCGAATAATAACTAGAAAAGATTTGAGTACAGAAGTAGTCACCGAGTATTTTATCTATAAGACTGTACTATGTAATAAGTTATCTTTGGTACAGTTACAACTGGCCAGTCTACTACCCGGTGTATGGGGTAACGATATCACTAACAGAACACGCCAAATAGTCAAGAAGAAATCCCTCACTCCTGTACAACAATGTTCAGTCGGTATAGAAATCCACTTTCCTGAAACTGTCTGTCACAACATACCCAACAAACTAGGAGACGAAACATCATATCAACCACGAACAGCAGACAACCCCGCGTCGGCAGCGCAGAAACCATGCGGATACTGGTGTCTCATTTGTATAAGAGCAACCACATTAGACTGATATCTGTTTAGTTATTATACGGTCACTGAGCCTGTCAGTACCTATGATTCATGTACAATATGTAATGGTTTTACCCTTTGTAGATTGATAGAAGATTTCAATAAATGTTGACTATAAACAAGTTATATGTTCGTTTTGGTTCAATAAGAAAGCTTGTCCAAGTTTTCATGGGATACCCGTCTATTTCTCATAAAATGAAACATAAAATATTCATAATACATCGCTGTCCAAAGCTTTGGACAAGCAAACCGATGAATGGGACTATCACGAGGKATTGGTACAAGGCATGAATGAATAAACAGATAAATTTATGAATCAATGAATCAATACTTGAACGAAAGAATAAACGAGCAATAAAATAAATGAATAAAATGACAAATAAATGACTGAATATATGAATGAAGTGAATGAAAAARCAARCGAACGAATGAAAGAGCAAATGAACGAGCGCACGATGTAATAAATGAGTGAATAGCCGAACGAATCAATGAAAGAGGAAATGGATTGTGAAAGAATCAACGAATAAGAAAGAGAATAAGTACTCAGGTTATGAAAATGAATGAATCAATGGCATCGTGACTGATATAATTGGTTGGCGTACAGGTAATTACAGTAACACCTCGCTAAAAGGAAGGTAGAGATCTAATATCAACAAACAAGTCATGATATCCGTTCCTTAAGTGATCCACTCTATCGCAATAGTAAGATGGTAAGATAAGCTTTAAACAAACCTTTAAGATCGTTGCATAAAAAGTACAGTTATTATCGAATATTAAAAATACAATAATAACATGAACTGAATTTGATTCTTTATAATATAATCCCTAAAACCAGTTAAATTTGGTGTCAAACAACAATACCGAAACATGCCTTTAAAAATACCGGCAATAAACAAATAATACTTACAAGTATCTGTACAATCGGCGACTTATCAACGATGATTAATCGACGATCTTACATGGTTTAAAACATCGTGAAACGAAGACTAAAAGGACAAGAAAACAGGAAAAAAGGTACTGAGAAAGAAAAGAAATAATTGYTGAAATGGAAAGAAAAGAAAAAAACAACAATGGAGAAAAATATATAGTTAGTGAAAGGAAAAAAGGAAGAAAGAAAGCAGAAAGAGATGRACAACTAAAGAAATGCATAAAAGGAATAAAGGAAATTCAGCAGCAATATCATTTGTAAACAATCATATACAAATTCACATAAGTTTTAATATCAAATAATTTGATTGGAGGATATCTTATATTAAGCTATGAATATATTTACAGCTTTATTCATTTATTGTTCGTTGAACATCATCTAGAAGTCAACAAAAGAAAAACACCATGTTAAATTGCATGAATTGGAATCATTTATAATAAAAAAGGGTTGTCTTAGTCTGGGGTGTAAGGATGGCCAAGCGGTTAAAACTCTGGTCTATCACCGCTGTGGTCCTGGTTCAATTCCCAGTCCAGGACTATTATGTGATTTGAGTTTGTAGGCTGGTTCTCTTCCTTGCTACGAGGGTTTTTCTCCAGGTATGCTGGTTTTCCTCCCTCAGTCAAAAACTAGCTATGAGGAATGTGGTATGCTAGAACAGTTAATGTTGAGGTAGAGTGTGCRAGTTGCATCACAGTTGAAGAACCATCGTGGATACACTGTGATGAAAGCATTATTACTCATCAATGACAACTACAACCTTTATTCACATACCACCATAGCACATACCATATTATATGTCAATCATATACATAGGTACCCACTATGTCACTATTTAGGTGACTTCTCACTGCATGGAGACTTACTTGACTAATTTGCTTGTTTCTTGATGTTATAAAGTGAATAAAACAAACAGTAGATTGCTAACAGGATGACAAGCAGGAAGACCAAGTAAAGTAATATAATCTACAAGAAAAACAAATTAGATTAGTTCCACACAACTTTGATTGTAAAAACCATTGGAATCAGCCCACAATTMTGTAATCAATAACAACTCCCTAAACACATTTGTAATCAATGGTGAGCAAAATAATTAGAGTTGATATATCCCTTCTATCACGACATTAAATGATGTTACTATGAGGCATCATTAAAAACAGGAAAACACCAATCACATAATAGTTTTTCATATTTGAATGAGTAGCCATGTCAGCCCTAGCCTGTGTAGCGGCCCTAAGGATATTGGAAAGCCCCGCTCGGCCGGCCCTCCCCAATCCCCTTAGGGCCGCTACTCAGGCTATGTCAGCCCATGGATCAAACATTTCCTAAATCTTCTTGCTACCAGACTCCCTTTTTATAGCTAGGGGACAGGGAGCCCACCACAAAAAAATGTGTGTGAAGAGACTAATATTTGCTGTTCTGTCATTTATTGTTTGGATATGGTGTTGATTATGTAAGTGACATTGGCCCTTTTAATGGACAGTCATTCCTTATATGGAACTTACATGTGATGAGAGTCACTCACTATTTGCCAATTTGGTCCAAAAATACAGAAATCACTCATTCACAAACTCAGTGTAATTTACAGAGAAATAGTAAGTCAATCCCATCTACAAGTTTTATGACTTTCTCTTTGCCTAACAGGAAGTGCTGTGAAGCATTAGCTCAGAGGGAAATTGAAAAATAATACAAACTTTATCAGGACTTTTAATCTAATGGCCACCACAGGATGCCCTTCACATGAAGATGAACTCAATTAATTTGGTACAAGGGACATTGCTGAGCTGCATAACGGTGAATCAATAGAATCAATACACCTTTTAAGTTGCTCTTAGGCCTCGACAGCATGTAAAATATTCTTTTGAATTTGTAGAAATGTGAGCAATGCAAACATTGATATGAATAGTCTCATTTGTCAAATTCAAAAGAATAAAACTTGCTATCGAGGCCTAAGTGCAACTGAAAAGGTGTATTGAGGCAAGATGAAAGAATAGAAACCTCTGAAATCAAGGTAGCCCAAGCTCAACCATTATTAAATCTGGCATACTGTAAGCTACAATGTCTCCTTAGGCTAAGAGGGACTTGACTCTTCTATACCTGAAATGGATGAGATGACTTGCGTGCTTGTGCTGCATCTTTACTCTTGATTGTGTTTCTTTTATTTCTACCACTAAATTCATGATGACCTATCAAAATATTATAATCATTAGTATAGTTCAACAAYTTCAGAAAATGATTAATAGCTTGAGAGCAGTAACAGGAAAAACAACAAAATCAAAGCATTATCAATAACAGCCCAAGAATTATAGAAAAATAAGCTTAATGCAACACCAACCACCACASGACAAACAGCTGTATAAACTGCATTAAGTCTTACTATAACTATATTAACTATGCTAGATTGCTACCCGAAATACATTGAAAGGCAATTGAACAAACTCTTCACAGGTCATAGGTTCTTGACAAAAGGTGCATTTAAAATTCAACCAAAACACTGCTGTACTGTAGTCGAGTTTCTCAACGTTTATAAGCGGACAGCAGAATTCATTCATTGATGAATCACAATATCAACATTCAACATAATATTTACCTAATCGCTTTCTGTATTTTTCTATTTCAGACTTTCCTTGGACCTCTTTTCGAGCCATATTTAGGTCAGAAAAGCAGTAAATACAACATAACAACAAAACTTTAAAAACACSAACGTGGCGCTAGGTTACCAAGTCTCAACACAGGAAACCCAGCTTTCAAGGGTTCCAAAAAAGCTAAACKTATGATAATGAAACATGTTGTAAAGCAGTTTAAATGGTTTATATACGGTCAAGTCATATGAAAATGATATTAAGAGAAAATTCTGGCCTCTCTCGACAATCAGGTCTTCTTCTGGTAACCTGACTATCAATATGAATCCAGTTGAATAATGTGTGTTCTGTGGGCCGCCTTTAAGAACAGCCGTTTGATTGACAGCTTTCACTCTTTTAAATCTCTTCCTTTTTGTACCTCGTTTTCTCTTATGTGGTCCCATCGGCATCCTGCTAACTTCGGTATCTAAGGCGACAAAACCAGAACTATGGCAAGTCCATGTAACTTATAACTTTTTGAAAATGCTTAAAAAACGGCAYTGAATGCTGAGAAGAAGCAATCCATCAACCAACCTTAATATAGTCAAAGAGCCGTTTCAATTCTTGAATGATCAAACATCATTTTAGCCTGAATTTTACTGACTTACACTGGATATCAATTTTTCCCTTGCCCTCCCCTYTAAAAATTCAATGTCCATGGACGAAATGCGATTGGTCACTGAAATCCCAAAGGATTCACGACCAACGTCATCACACCTATCCAAGTTGACTACCTCAGTCAATGATCTTCAGGATGCCTGTGGATCGCACACGCTGAGATATGATTGGTCGTCGAGATCCCGTGGGTATTGACGTCACTATTATGGCATAACAATAGAACTTCGCCGAATAGACTACCCCCATTTGACATTAGATATTTAACAGTGACTTCATAGTAYGATGGTCTAAGAGGGTAGCTACAGGTATGCACTAGTGGGCGGCTACCCCCTCACTCCCTGGCCTTTTGGTTAAGACTAAGTTTTATGTGCACTCGGGATAGCGTGGAAGAGCCGAAATCTCTAACCGTAACGTAAGCCGATTCGCCGCCTCAGCTTCATAGAATGTCTCGGGGGAATCGTCCCATCTTTTTCATTTTATTTCATTTTATTTTTCTTGTCCAGGGGGTACACTTCACAGATAAGAGTAAAAAGTCAAGGTTCGAGCCTCGCTGCGCGCACCATGATTTTTTCTTTTTTTAGTTTTTATTAAAATAGTTTTTTTTCTTTTTCTTTCTTTTTCTTTCTTTTTCTGTTTTTTTTTTTTTTTTGTATTCTTTCATTTTCTTTATGAGTTTCAATGTTTATTTGATTTGGCAAATAAAGTCTAAAAGTCTAATATTTCAAAAAACTTCGTCTGCCAAGGAAGGAGGGTATTCCATAGATACAAGGCTTGATCAATTTACTGGTACGAGCGTGCGAAGTCTTTTTCTTTCTTTTTCTGTTTTTTTTTTTGCATTCTTTCATTTTCTTTATGAGTTTCAATGTTTATTTGATTTGGCAAATAAAGTCTAAAAGTCTAATATTTCAAAAAACTTCGTCTGCCAAGGAAGGAGGGTATTCCATAGATACAAGGCTTGATCAATTTACTGGTACGAGCGTGCGAAGTACCTCACCCTAATTATATAACTTACTTCAGCTTCTAACTCGATAAATAGCTAATCACAGGCGTCAAGATGGAGTGTTTTTCTATTTTGAATATCAAAAACACCTCATTGACTACTTCCCACTTTTTGCCCATTAAAGTAACAAAAATGCCTCAATGGGATAAAAAAAACTATAGCATGTAAATTAATCATTTATGTTATGATGTAATAAAGTCGATGATCTGAAAAAAAAAGCGTTGATAGACGACTTTGCTCGMTTTATTCAAACCCTGCTCTTAACTATAACTTGTCACATAACCCTCCTATATTATATCATGCCTTTTCGAAAGTCGACTAGCTATACAGAGCAAGTCTTTTTACCTATGTATACATTGCATTTCTTCAATGGAGGAGTCATTGAGGATATTTCATGCAGCAAGCTGTTAATAATCCTAACGTTTACTGTCTTTTAGATAATTCCTACTGACAATTCGAAGTGTTAATGATTGCAAGCTTACAAGAAAGTGGTAGTTGCTAGGATATTCGAAGTACATTTACATGTGTCAAAATGACTTTCGGTGTTGTTTCTATACTGGAACAGCTTTACAGCTGGGTCAGCAACCCCAGTTTAACGGAAGTAAAATCTGAGAATGAAGCGATATGTGTAGGTAAGAATTAGAAAATATATACAGAACAAAACACGAAATAAAGATCAAATGCAGAAGAGAAATTAAGACAATAAAAATAACAGAAGGGGTGAAGAGTACAAAGGAGACGGCGGGATAAGTGGAAAAGAAAAAAAAGACAGCTAAGAAAAAAAGATTAGTAGTTAAGAAGAGACCCCCACACACAAGACCTGATATTAAATGGTTTTAGTTTAAAGTTTCCAAACAGGTTGCTGTTATCATTTCTTCGTGATCACTTTGTTTAGCAGAGGATCTTGMAGACAACCATTTTTTGCGGCCTTTGAAAATGCATTCTTTGAAGTCACGTTTAAGAAAGGCAAAGATGAGCGGGTCMAGGATAGTGTTCAGAAGAAGAGTAAAGAAYGATGTATAGGCAAGGCCGTTGGTGATGAGATGGTTAAGTTGGAAAGCATGGCAAACGTTGATGTACATAAATGGTAGCCAGCATAACAAGAACATCCCAAGAATGATGGCAAACACCCTTGCTGCTTTCTCCTCCGTCCCGGCTCGTTCACCTGTCTTGTTTCCATGGCTGGTTCTTCGTCTGTTTCTCTGGATGAAATTCCTGACGATTTTCAAGAGCTTTGCGTACACCCAAACCATGCCAATGCAAGGTAAGAGGACAAACACGATTACCAAAGTGATAAGATAAGCTTTGTGGTAGTCAGACATTGGATTCTCTTTCCATGCAATGGGAAGAAGACAAATGACAAGAGGGACGAACCAAGACAAGAAAATGGTGACTGCTGTCTTTTTCTTGTTCATTATSGTGCGATAACCAAAAGGCTTTGTAAGAGCKATGTATCTTTCGTATGTAACTGCACAGAGGTTGAAGATTGATGCAAGCAGTAAAAAGGAAATAATGTAACCACTAATAGTTACTTTTGTTCTGGAATACTCTTCCTTGATGTAGATGGGTACAAACACTGCTGCAACTAGCAGATCGGATGCTGACAGACTTACCACGAATGCATTGGTGACGGTTACAAGACGACCATTCAGAGCAACCACTGCACACACAACGAGGTTTAGTACAGTAGATGCAAGCCCCATGACTGCCCAGCATACGATTAGTGGGACAGGAGGAGGGTTGAGATAYGATGAATCGCTTGTTGTGTTGTTCATTGTTGAGACGATTATGGATTCAACAGTCCATGAAATCTCATCTTTTCGATCTAAGAATAAACAATGTCTAAGTTACTGCTATGTAAACTTTAACTATCTTCAAACCAATAACATTACTAATAAGAAGTAAATTGCTAGTCGGTTTATYGTTGTTAGTTAGTGGTAGCTCGACATATTTCATGAATGACTAGCACTAAGTTTATTTCGAGCTGCACCCTTAAATTACGGCTCAACTTCAATCTTATTCATCAAAGAAGTTTGGTTGGCTGATCTTCCACCATCGAACGTTCTCCCAAAGGTGTATATAAGGTAAGTGTGGGATGACAACCATTTTGTCATTGAATTGATAGCCATTCAACACGAGAAATTTATGAAAGTACTTGGGTTACCTAGACAGGTGTATGTGTTTGTAATGAAACATCCAGAATATAGTGCAAATAAAACACAAAGTACCTTTAAATTGGAAACKTTTCTCGTTAAAAACGCGGCTGATGCATAACTGAAAACAATCTGRTTTTCTGTGCGAGGAAATTCTTGTTTGCTTCCTCTTGGTTCAAGTGATTTAATCAACAACAAACCGGTGATGTTTCAATACAATAATCGRCRGTTGCCCAATCACAAATCTCTCTAAAACTATACATGTCCACAGTATGCTGCAAAACCAATATATAAACAGGCCATATCCGAAAGTCTATTGCCTGACGTCACAGTTCTCTTAGCCAATCAMAATAGACGGTTTGTTTGTCCAATTTTGTTAGGATATTGTATCAAGACACAACGAGTGGAACGATTGTCGTTTAGGGGTCGAGTTTTTGCCGATAGTGTTTTGATAATGACTACTGACGTTAATTTCCCTAGAGACAGTACCAGTGACTTTATTATCAATAGGGTGACCTTAAAAAGGCTTAACCAATTTGTTATTCGATAAAACTGAACCGATTGAATGAAATGATTTGCTACTCAAGGTCAAAGTGAATATGGAAACTGACTATGGAAGTGATGGTTTTCAGTTTGCAAGCTTCCGTGTGTACATAAAGACACTTTCAATTAACAGCTTTATTCAGACAAAGCTTAAGTCAAAGCGATGAACTGACAAAACCTTTCTGCATTGTATTCAAAAATGGGCGTACTTAATCAAAAACTCGCTGAAATGTTTGATCCTGTGATAATTAGAATTTCCTACAATTCATACGGTGAAATGACAGAGACTTCTTTATTAGATACTCGGCCCGTGATGGTTACTTGGAGAAACAGAGACTGTATTGATAAGTGGTTCAGACAAGCAAACACACGGAGTAGCAAGAAATATTGCTTTCATAAAACCATCCAAGTTTGAACATGATGTGAATAACTCATACGATCATAAGTAGAGAAAGAGGTTAAAACTTGAAAGCAAGCTGAGCTTCACAAAAAATATTCTTTCTTTCTTATAAATCTCTCTCAAAATCGTACAAACATATTGACAAACACAAAGTGTACTTGCAWTTAACACAGTGAAACTGAAATCAATGTTAACAGTACTAACTATACACGCAAACCTACCTTACCGACTACCAACGTCCAGTTTAAATAAAAACAAACCTTCGATAAGCTTTATATGAAATCATWACCGATGATCACAAATGACTAGAAACTAGTGATTTTAACTGGAAGTGTCAATTGGCTCAACCGCACAAGGAATTAACCAATCAKAGATAAGATCTTAGCGCAAACCAGAACGAGCTTAATATCTAAAAGTAGGAGTTCCACAAGACTGTCGAGACCAGTCCGAGAAGACCTCTTTAAGGTGTAGCCGATATAATTACAAATAAAAACAATGATGACAACAAAGTTGTACCTCTGGAAACGACAGTTRAGCATTCTTACACTTGCCTTGACTGTATTGTTGTACAGAAGAAAAGCATTAAATAGTCTGGTTGAACTTAACAGCAAATCATGACGATGACAATGTTATAGTTTGATATGAAAACAACAGCGCTAGTAGGTGTACTAGAAGGACGACTGCGGTTACTGGATTACAAACCATAAACGTACCGACAATATTTAATTAAACTTTGCGTATCCACGCAATAAAACAGCAAGAAAAGATTGATTCAAGTCACAATAAGCCGTGCGAACTCTCACATGTTTTTGTTATCAAAAATAGATGTCGGACTATTGTTGCGTGCAMAAGAAGCGGTAGAAAACACGTTTTGTTTGAATATTTTTGTTTGAGTATTTTAAGAGAGAACAGCTTTATCTTCATGTTAACCTTCTTAACCGAAGCACGAATACCTAGCTGTCACGTGATCCAGTCAACAAGATTAAATTAACCACRGSTACAGAAGAAAACACTGAAAAATATGCAGCTAAACCAGGAGACTATTATCAATTAGTATACTCGTTTGTCATYAGCCGAAGGTTAGTAATCRATTMTCTAAAGAAATCAAGTCGGCCGCGTTTAATTTCGGAACGGGTTGCAAATCTTATTGGCTGTTATCCGCCTATTGCCATAGCTTCTTTYACAATAATAACCAAACAGCCTGCATAATTGCTCCTTTAGAACATACAATATCCAGGCGGCCATCCCTTTTTGTTGACATCATTGTTCTTTTATTGTTGCTCAAACTGTAATTAAARCTGTACCCCAGGCTTTGGATGGCCTATCCATGGTGCACAGCGAGGAGTACATACATCGGTACATTACAGTGTCCTTGCTATGTACTTGCTCGATTTGAAGTTCATGAGTCATGCAGTTTCTATTTTAATATTGCTTGGTTTTTAAACGGATCACAATAGTTCCATATTGGACTGGTGAAGCGAGTCAACCCCACTGTAGTTGGAAATATCAAATTAGATTCTGCGATAAACGGTGCTAATGGTATTAACTTAGTRTAGTTGCTGATGCATGCTGGTGATAATGCGATCAATTTCCGACAATTTTCAGTTAATTAAACGTTTTGTTGGCAGGTGCGAACACACAAAAGTATTGGCAGTCCTGTCGATAGCCAGAAATCAGCAGCTCATTAATGTTATTTCAAAGTCATTAGTTACAGCAACAGTACACAGCTTACCATTCAAAAATGATGATAAGTTTCAATGTGATGTTTCTTTGTACGGAATACTTTCTTCTATCGTATTAACACCACGTCCAGCTCGCCAGTTGGACGTGAATTATGGTCGGCTATTCACACTATTAGCAACCCTAGACGTGTTTTAATGACAGACGAAAAGACTGCAACTGAGTGGAACTGAAGTGCTACGTGAATGCTTGTTAATGCTACTTTAACCACCCGTATGTCATCGGGAGTTAAACGCCTATTTAAACACGAGTACTTTGACCAATAGTAGACAAGTGGTCTGAAATTTCGAACATATCAGTCAGAGTGTATTAAAGAGGCCTTGCAACACCAACATACCAATCAGATAAGAAAATAAGATCATCATACCGAGGACTAAAGGGACAGAATAAAAAAAGAACGATTTTTAGTGCAAAACACGGCAGTAAATCTTGTTTTAACGTGCTTTCGAGTCAGCACTAGTTGATTATACTAATGACGGCTTTCAACCCATAAACCACCGACTAATAACTTTTTGATAGGTTTGTCACGTGACAATGTATCTTAATTCTCAAGCAGGCTTGTCTCCTAGAGGGCTCTCAATTCTTACAATACTATATACCCTGCTGCCAACCCAGTGAACATTGCTTGTCACGATAAAACTCATCGTCGCGGTAATGATCTAGCTCGTGAGGGCCATTAAGTTGATATTCTAGAGTACTAAATCTTAACATATGAGCAATCGTTAAGTCGTTAACATGAGAAATAGTTGTGAAATGCCGGTAAATGAGAAGATAAGTCCTTGAGAAAAACAACAATTATGGTAAATGTTTGCTCGATACGTACTCCACAGTTCATGCATGTTTTTCGTGAATTCTTCCCATATCATGAAATTCCATGGCGAAAGTTTGAGCTGATGTTCTCACTGAATATGTTTAAAAGGCTAACGAACAGTTTTTAAACTGTTTGATCCATCAAATCTCTGCTTTAATCCACCTCGATACTAGTCAAACATGACAAGTTGATCGCACGTCATGTTGGGACTGATAAATGTGAATCGAACCAATCCCCCAACAATCACTTGAATTCAAGAGATGTGCCACCTTACACAATTATATTTACATTATTTGAAAGTTGTTAATTCAGACAAACAAATTGTTAGCCGACAAGTCTAGTGCCCGCAAAATTTGAAGGTGTGGCTCTCAGGACGATTTAGAACAAGCATTGTCTTACATATAATAAATTTCGCATGTAGTTGAAGTGCTGTCGAGTCTTGTTCGTTTAGCTAGAACGCTTAAGAGACTAATTTGAATTGTAAACTTGTAGCGCTGCCTAATGATTAGTTCCATAATTTGTTTACAAGTCAAGTATAACTACAGATTTTTCACTATGATTTTATATTTACCGTGTTAAACGTTATTATTGTTTTTTCTCATTGTACACGATTACCAATACGAGGCTATAGTTTTACCTTCCAATATTCTCTTACCTAGTYGACAGCAAGTCGAGTGGTCAAATCGTCATATCTCGTTGGTCAAGTGTTGCTAAGAGGACACATCATAGGCTACCTTACTATAAAGCCCACCACTATGCTGACATGTACTGATTGATGGATTTTTTTGTATTAGGATTTTGTAAAGTACTTTTTAACAAATACAGTCATTAAGCAAGCCATTTAATAAGGACCTTTTTATTGCGCATGTTCGTTGGTGACTATGACGTCACTAGCTACTTGGATTAGAACACGCGTGGCAAAACGTCGCGTCCCTGTTTCCTTGCAGAGTTTCTTATCGGAATCTAACAGTTTTAAACAGTGGACCTTATGTTTTAATGGCTGCACATCAGTAGTACCCGACTAATCTGCCTTGGTTACTTTGTCAGGTGAGTGTTCATTTGACCGCCATTTTAGTTGTTCCCAGTCTATTAACGTGTGTTTGTACTGGCTAGAGGTGTACATCTATAGTAACACGAGCAAAAATCAAAACAAACTTTAAAAGACGAACAAAATGGAA